ACCTCATCTCATTTGTTCTGAACACAGCACCTGCTAGCTTCATTTGATGCTCCTCACTTCTTACACTGAAACAAGCCGTAATCAAGCGCTACCTACCGTCTCTTTACCACGTGTAGAAACCTAGATAGTCTCCTGCCAGATAGAAGATTCGTATTTTACTTAATTACTCTTCACATGAAAGCCATTCTGTGCCACCTTAATAATTTCTGAGTGCTTTCCAGCTTTATTAAACTCAAAACATTCTGAGAGAAGACCACCAGAACTGAGATAGTATTCAACACACAGACAAGTCACAAATCTAAAAAGTGGGATAATGATCACAGAATCTTAGGGGTTGGAAGGGACCTTGAAAGATCATCTAGTCCAACCCCCCTCACAGAACAGGATCACCCAGAGCACATCACACAGGAATGCATGCAGGTGAGTTTTTAACATCTCCAGTGAAGAAGACTCCACAACCTCTCTGGGCAGCCTGTTCCACTGCTCTGTCACTCTCACAGTAAAGAAGTTTTTCCTGATGTTTACGTGGAACCTCCTATGTTCCAGTTTGCACCCACTGCCCCTTGTCCTACCACTAGACATCACTGACAAAAGCCTGGCTCCGTCCTCCTGACACTCGCCCTTTCCATATTTGTAAACATTTGTGAGGTCACCCCTCAGTCTCCTCCAAGCTAAAGAGACCCAGCTCCCTCAGCCTTTCCCCATAAGGGAGATGTTCCACTCCCTTAATCATCTTTGTGGGTCTGCCTTGGACTCTTTCAAGCAGTTCCCTGTCCTTCTTGAACTGAGGGGCCCAGAACTGGATACAATATTCCAGATGAGGCCTCACCAAGGCAGAAGACAGGGGGAGGAGAACCTCCCTTGACCTACTAATCACACCCTTTCTGATACACCCCAGGATGCCATTGGCCTTTCTAGCCACAAGGGCACATTGCTGGCTCATGGTCATCCTCCTGCCCACCAGGACCCCCCGGTCCCTTTCTCCTACACTGCTCTCCAGCAGGTCAGCTCCCAACCTGTACTGGTACATGGGGTTGTTCTTCCCCAGATGCAAGACTCTACACTTGCCCTTGTTGAATTTCATCAAGTTTCTCCCCGCCCAATTCTCCATCCTGTCCAGGTCTTGCTGAATGGCAGCACAGCCTTCTGGTGTGTCATCCACTCCTCCCAGTTTAGTGTCATCAGCAAACTTGCTGAGGGTACACTCTGTTCCTTCATCCAGGTCATTGATGAAAATATGGAATAGTATCGGTCCCAGTACCAACCCCCGAGGGACTCCACTAGTCACAGACCTCCAACTAGATTCTGTCCCATTGACCACAACTCTCTGACTTCTTCCTTTCAACCAGTTCATGATGCTCTGTTTTGTTTCTTATTGTTTTCCTAGCAATTCTAATTATAATACTTCCACTTGAAGATTTCTGGTCTGCTCAGTGCCCATCATCTTATATACAAAGATGTAACTGTCCTCATCTCCAATACAATTTTCATTTTTCTACAGTGTGCTACTTCTGCCATATTATTGCCCAATTACTAGTTTCATAAACTTTTTCAAAAATTCTTCACTTTACCCTCAATTCTTTTTACATCCAGCAGCTCACCAAATTCTGTCAACCCTCTACTCACACTGTTTTAGAAGTTAATAAATCTCTTGTGCATTACAGGTCTCTAAGACTCCACACCACTGAGAAGGCTACACATTTATTTCCACATCATTTCTTATTCTTCAGCAAGTTTGCTGTTCATAGAATGATCCTCATTTTCATGCTGACATACTATTCTTGTCAAATGCCTTTGGTGAGGGACTGAGAGATCCCTTTTGAAAAAGCATCTATGTCTCATTGTATCAACTGCATCATCCTTGTAAATGTTTTGCTGATTCTGAAGAACTCCAAAGGTTTGTGGAAGAGCTTCCCATTACAAGAGATGTAAATTGCAGGCTTTAAACTGAAGGACCTGGGGGGAGGGATCAAAAAATGGCAATGATCATTTCACCATCACCACTACAGCCAATTAGGGAATAAATCAGGCCAACCAGAGTAGTATAAAATGTGTCTTATCTGTCTCCCAAAATGAGAACAAAAAATTAACCACCTGAAGTGTATGTATACAAATGCACACAATCCGGGAAACAAACAGGAGGAGCTAGAGCTCTGTGCCCAGTCAGATAATTATGATATCACAGGAAGAACTGAAACATGGTGGGACAATTCACATGACTGGAGGACTGTGATAAATGGCTATAGGCTGCTTCACATAGACAGGCAGGGGAGAAGAGGTGGAGGAGCTACGCTCCGTGTTAGGGGAAAACCTTGAATGAATTGTAAGTCAACTGTGGTAATTGTGGTAGCCCTATTGAATGCCCCTGGGTCAAAATCAGATTGGGAGAAGCCAACACGGATTTATCAGGGGCAAATCATGCTTGACAAATGTGATTGCCTTCTACAACAAAGTAACCTGTTCAGCTGATGCAGGGCAATCAGTGGACATAATCTAGCTGGACTTTTCCAAGGCTTTTGATACGGTTCCCCACAGCCTCCTCCTGGAGAAACTGACTTGTTACAATCTTGACAAATGGCCTGTGCAGTTGGTGGCGAACTGGCCAACAGCCCATACCCAGAGGGTGACAGTAAATAGTTTATTCTCAAACTGGTACCTAGTCACACTTGAGGAACCCCAGGGACTGACATGACTGGAGAGCTTGACACTCCAGAAGGGCATCACAAGCAGAGATAAAGAAATAATCGTCCCGCTCTACTTGGCGCTTGTCAGACCACACCTGGAATATTGCCTTCAGGTTTGGTCCCTGCTCTACATGAAGGACACAGACAGGCTGTAGAGGGTCCACAGAAGGGCCACAAGGATGATCAGAGCACTGGAAGACCTGCCATATGAGGAGAGGCTGAGAAAACTGGGTTTGTTCAGTCTTGAGGAGAGAAGGCTTCAGGGAGACCTTATTACAATGATCCAGTACTTAAAGAGTGGCTACAAAGAGGATGGAGATTCCCTATTTACAAGGAGTCCCATGGAAAAGACAAGGGGTAATGGGCACAAGTTGATCCTGGGGAGATTCCAATCGGACACAAGAGGAAAATTTTTCACCGTGAGGACAGTAAAACATTGGAATAGTCTCCCAAGGAAAGTGGTAGATTCCCCCACTTTGGACAGTTTTGAGTCTCCCCTTGACAGGGTGCTGAGCCATCTCATATAAACTATAGTAGCACCTAGAAAGGTTGGACCAGATGATCCTCGAGGACCCTTCCAACTAGGCATTCTATTATTCCATGAAATATTCCAGAGTACATCTCTCTCTCTCTTTATCCAGGTATTCAGTATATTTATTATAAATTCTACTGATTTATTGAACACAAACATCAGAATTGGAACCATGTAGTTCCACTAAACTCCTGATGCACTTAAAAAAAATTAAAAAAAACAAAAATCAGCATTTGCCATCCCTCCAGCCCTCAAAAACAAAGTTCATTCAAAGCAAGACTTCAACCATTCATCTTTTGACTTCTTCATTCCTGAGTTCTTCTAAAAGGTCTCCAGTGCACACCATCTTGTCCTGGAAATTTATTCACTCTGTCAGTTTGCTCCACAACTTCTGATACAGTAACTTCAATTTCAGACAGGTCCTCTGTCAAATGCATCCTGCAGATCCAACTGGTCCATGCACTTCTTCACTTTGGCCAATTACATCCCAGGCCGGATAACTACTTCCACACCTACAACTGCCACTAGGAGATTTCTTCCCAGACTACTACATGGTATATCCTTTACAACAGCCATAAACCAAACACACACACACCCCTCTTCCCACAGATGTATAAAATTTACTATCTAATGACAGGGAATAGATCACAAATAAGATAAAACTAAAATACAGAAATACCAATCTATGAAAACAGCATCATTTTGACACAACCAGATACTACACTGAGTACTTTTCTTCTCCATGTTTCACAAAGATTGCCTCAAGTCTCTGTGGTTATGACAAACATCGGGCAATTTTTTGTCTCAAAGCTTTGGCTTCAAGTCAATCTCTCTCAGCCTCACATGCACAGAATCAAGACAGCTGAACAAATTATTTTAAAACCTTTCCATTTCCAGACTGACAGAAGGTTTGAAAATTCTGGAAGATTAAGTCATTCAACCCACGTTACAGTACTGAAGCTAAGAGAGGGAGATCCCATTCCTTCTCCTCCCCTTACAGTCATACCATGTATTTCTGCAGCTCATCTCAAGTCATTCCTGGTGTTCACTGCATCACAAACAACTAACATTAAACTACACATTTACCCAAGGCATCTTTCAAGACATTTAGATGTCAACTGCAAAAGCATGATCAACAAAGTATGGTACACAAACAGCTAACCCAAGGTGAAGACTGATCACAGGAATGGGGGAGAGGATCAGAAAAAGATACATAAAAGTATATTGAGAATTTGCTGGTGTGTGGGCCTATAATGTCCACTAAAGTGTCAGTTTACAAAATTTACTCTAGTGAAAATACAGTTGAGTCAAATACATTAAGCTACCTTACAGGATAGAAAGTAGAAAAATTGCCCCTTGGCTGCAGCTGTGATAACCTAGATGACCAAACGAATGAAAAACAGTATTTTTTAAAAACAGATGTACAAGTGGGGGGTTAAGAGAGCAATCTGTCATTCATTTCACTGCTGGCCCAGACTTAAACCATGACAACAAGTCAAGAAAGCCCAAGTACTCTTCAGAAATCTACATGTATTCCAATGCATCCTTGCATCAAGGAAGGTCCAACACGTAACAGAATACACATTTGCAAGACTGCAAGTGTGATAAATACAATCATAATCATTATAGTAGTAGTAATAATAATATACAATTTGGAATGCCTGTAAAACTAGTAAAATTTAACTGAAGCATTAAAATCACACATCCTAAATCTTTGAAACTACTTTCACTTCTACTCAAAGAGAAAAAGGTTTTAACTTAATATTTAAGTATTATTTGTAGAAATGGTAGATACAGGTTTCATTCTGCAAATCAAATCTATTGAGAGCAAAGTACACCTTTATTTCAACATCCTTTCTGGTTTCAGGTATGTACATGGGAAGAAAAATAATAATTTATAAAGAAATTAGAGAAGGGCCTTCTAAAAAACCCTTATTAATAGTTAATGCAATCTGAACATAAGGCATAACAGCAGCAGCAAGAAAAAACACAGAACAATTCCAGACTTAGAGATAAAAGAAGAAGAAAATACATTAGGTTCAAAAAACATCCAAATCAATACAAGCAAGCAAATTGGAATCTTTGGTAGCTCAGAAATAATTTCTATTTTAGTTATAATTGACTTAATCTTAAGATTTATTGATTTTACTGGTAGTCCTCCAGGAAAAGAAGCTATTCAAAATGGGGCAGAAACCACTTTGGAAGTAGCTGTAACTGGCTGAACTAAATTTAAACTAAATTAAAAATTAGTTTTCTGACACTGTCTATAAAATAATAGGCCTAAAGTAGAAGCCGTTGATTATCTGTGCACTAGGTAAATACCCCTCTGCAGTGTGATGTAGAAATTATAGTCAGCCTGATCTAGTATTTTCTCTGCAGACGCTGTTAGTTTCTCAACCATAAAAGTTTACAATAAATGATAGATTTTACAACAGTTCATATAACCTAAGACATCTCATTACACAAAAATGTTGCAAGTGTAATTTTTTTTAAAAAATGCAGCTTAAAACTTGCTATTAATATATTTAGTCTATACATTATCTGAAGTGCTAAGGGATGTGGCATAAGAAGCCAAAACACAATAAAGTATTCACCTCAAAGTAGACATTTTCTAGTCACTTTCACAATTTGAAATTATGGACTATTATGTACCACTTAGACAGAGAAAATTATTTGTGATCAATAATAATTCTAAGTTACTACTTTAAGAACATAAGTTCTCCTAAGAGGCGAGTAATTCTGGGAATACGTGAACTTTTCCATTATTTAGATGTTTAAATGGAAATGGTAGAGAGCTACTCATGCTCATCTTGTTCAACTCCTTTTTAACAAGTGAGTTTGCAACATAAAAGATATCTAGTGATTTCCTGAAGTGGTTTCCATAAGCAAAAGTCACTGCTGCTCTCTAACTCTTACAACCTCCAGCTCAGGTTTTTAATTTTTATTTTTATTTTTTTTCCCTTTAAATAATCAGCAATAACTGCTTGGAACAAATGCATCTTTCTTGTCCAGTTCTTGTATAGCAGAAAATAAAATGTGGAACTGCTGCTTGCAAACACACAGCCGGAGGAATTAACATAAAAACTTGGAAGAAAGGGCAGCTGAAAAGTAGGTTCTAGAAAGCATTATGGACACCACCTCATGTCAGCTTAAAGCAACACGTTTCCTTCTCCTTTGAGTGAGCAGAATGGTTGTAGAGAGACAAAGAGGTGATCTAGAGCAACGCATCTCAAGAAAATAACTACCACAACCTCACCCTCTGCCCCACCCCCCACAAAAAAAAAAAAAGGTGACTTCAGCTTTCCATTTGTTCCAAGAACACTGCTGAAATGTGCTTTTGTGTATACAGCTTGGATCTGAAAGCCATTTCTCTTTTATTCCATAAAGTGGCAGAGGAATTTGGCAAAGCTCTTTAAAGAAACTCAACTCCGGCTCTAAGTTACTGGCCAGACCCTAAGCAATAGCACGCAAAACATAACTACGCAGTCAAACCCGAAGTTTGTCCTTTCAGCAACACACCACTAGGCACACCACTAAAGGTGATGTAATAATCTTGCTCTTTTTTTTGATAAAGCAGAAAAAAAAAAGTAAGTAAATCAAGGCCTGACCTGGTTTTAACATTAAAAAAAAGGTGATAAGTTTCATTATATGAATCACAGAATCACAGAATCCTAGGGGTTGGAAAGGACCTTGAAAGATCATCTAGTCCAACCTCCCTGCCAGAGCACTTTGGTTTGTCAGCTATAAAACAGTCACCACTAAGACAGCAGTCAACTAGACAGGAATTCAGAATGCATCTCCAAACTTCACAAATTAATCCTTTCATAGGATACTATTTAAAATAGACACACATCCATTAACACTACTAAAAAACAGTCCAAATGCACTCCAACAAGCCTGTATGAAGGTTGGGAGATGGTGTAACTTTTGGTAGAAAGCTGAAGTAGCTTCCAGAACACATTTTAAGAGACTCAAATGGAGTGACAGGAAATAGAAAATAAATCAGATAATTTCAGGATGATGGCTGTACACTCTAAGGACTGGAAAGTGGCCACCAGCAAAAGTTAAACTAGAACAACCATCTGTGCAACCAAGAAAAATGTTTTTTGCTGAAAGCCATGACCATGCAAAAAAGAAATACATTTCTCCAAGTTTATCTTGCAGAAACTGACTTAACAAGGATGTAAACCCAGTATTTTTTTCAACAGTTAGTATTTTGCCTTCTAGTGAGTTACTGGTGTCAAAGGGAAAGTAGTAATGGATGGAACAGGACATGAACAGTACTTGCTTAGAAGTAATCCTGAAATGAAAAACACTCCACAAGCTATATACAGAGAGTTTTAAATCTTTCCAAAGCCCCTAACAAAAGGGGACAGTATTTTCCAATTTAACAAAAATATTAGAATTGAGGAAGCTTGGCAATAAAACATTTGCAATATAAAAGTTTGCAACAGATAAAAGATTTCCTGTACTATTTCATTATTATGCATATTAGACGATATTAAGATTGTAAACTGAAAGACTCAGAAATAATGAAATTACAGAATTAAAAATGTGCCTATTTACAGAGTTTCATTTTTAACTAGGAGTGTGCTGGCTTTAGATGATGTAATGGTAAGGTTTTTTTTCTCTACACAAACCCTGCATCATTCAAGCAATGATTCTCACTTTGTGCACTGCTATTTACGATATTTTTTTAACTGATAGTCCGTATATGGCCACATACTTTATTATTGCCTTTCTCTAAGGACAGACTCTTCTTTAAATACAGAAAATCTTTATTTCTAGTGAAACACAGTGGCAATCACTGCAATTTGAATGAATGAATTTTCTCTACAAAAGTACTAAGTAAAAATTATCTTAGAGAAACAACAGAACTTAGGGGCAAAAAAGAATGCAAAAATGAGTAGCAGTTGTTGAAAATCATACTACTACCAAAATAAATTTTTGTAAAACTATAACCTTACCAACAAAACATCTTTGTCTAGCACTTGCCGCAGGCTGGAAAACCTATTTAAGAGAAAACTAAGGCAACACAATAGCATCCAATTTCTTTGAACACTGAGCTGCCATTTCTAAAGCTAACCAAAAGCACTGGTAACGTATCCCTTATGACCATTACATTCTGGGAAATTTCCTCCAAGTTCTCTCTCCCTCCTGCCTCATCTACAGCATCTGCATTAGTTTAAGAAATTATTATCATCAACTTTTTCTAACTCTCCTGTCTTACACCCCCCTCCCTTCAACTGCCTCTTGAGTTTCTCACTTCTTATCCACCAGATGTACACTTTTAGCATTCTCATTTACTTGCAATTTGGCATAAGTTTGCCATATTCCTCCAACCTTCACACATGCACTCAAGAGAGTAACTCACTTCACAGGAAATACTGCACACACACACATATCTAGCCAGACTCTCCTAACTTAAGCTGTTATGGCCAACACACTGAATGTGTCATATCACAGCAGTATTAATTATAGCATATGCTGTAACACCCAGCCTCACATGTATGTACATTTCCTATCAGGTATATGTACTCTCTAGAAAGTGCATTGTCTAGGCACGTCAGCAAGCACTTCCTATCAACTGCTGCCACACCAAGATATATTTTCACCAAAATGTATATCCTAATCCTGCAGAAGTCAGCAGTTTTTGAATAGTTTAACTCCCTGCACTGACTAGGCATGGAGCCAGACAAATGCTAGTACAGGAGCAAGGGAAGGGAAAAAAAAACCACACCCGCACAGCAAGAGTCTGAGAGATGAAGGTACCAAGACACCAGCTCCAGTTCAGGCTACAGTTTTACAGGCAGCAGGACATGGATGTAACTTTTTGCACTCATGGGAAGATCCTTCACCTGCCATTGCTCCTGGTCATCCCTGCAGCAGGAGCCGGAAGAGAGTGTGGAAAGGGACCATCCTTCTCCAGATGTAAAGTCAGCTCACTGCAACCCATGGAAACTAATATTTCAACACAATTCTGAGATTTGGTTTAAATTCCTGTTAATGCCAGAGGCTGTTACCCTAAAACAACACTTTGAGGTATTAAGAATCCGTTGTTGGGATGTCTTACAGGATGCTTTTACAAATCTAACTTGCCAACTCTGCCTGAGATAGAGTTTCAAGGTAAAATCTATTCTGCAACAACTTCGGCGAACTAATAACAAGTTCTCATATCTGACAGGAGAAAAACAAAACAAAACTACCTTTTTGTTCATCTCCTCAGATGGAAATAGCTCATCACATGAATAACACGAGTGTTATCTGTGAAGAGTTTTGCCAGACTTTGTTATGCCACTACCATTTCCTTACATGACCCATCTTCTCCTACTGGCATCCAGTTATTAATCCTGCCTTAACTGATTCTGTGGGAAGCTGCTGAACTTCCAAGAATTCTTGCTCATCTCTCAGTAAGCCAGTTCACATAATCATGGAATAGTTAGGGTTGAAAGTGATCTTTAAAGGTCATCTAGTCCAATCCCCACTACAACAAACAGGGACATATTCAACCAGATACAGCTGCTGAGAGCCCCATCCAATCTGACCTTGAACATTTCCACAAATAGAATCACAGAATAGGGCATCTACCACCTCTCTGGGCAAACTGTCCCAGTGTTTCACCACTCCTAGTGTAAAAAATTTCTTCCTTATATTTAGTCTAAATCTACCCTCTTTCAGTTTAAAACCATGAGCCCTTGTCCTATCACCACAGGCCCTGCTAAAAAGTTTGGCCTCATCCTTCTTAGAAGCCCCCTTTAGGTTCTGAAAGTCTGCTATAAGATCATCATGAAGCCTTCTCTTCTCCAGGCTGAACAACCCCAACTCTCTCAGACTCTCCCTTTGGGCATGTGTTCCAATCTGATCATT